AGCTCGGAGCCTACCCTCAGGAATGCGACTAGGTCTTATTCAACAACGCAGAGCCAGTGAGGGTTGGTTGACTTCACACATATCTTTGAATATCTATGCAGTTGTATGCAATTTGTAATTACAGTAAGTATGTCGGATGGATGTTATCAAGAAATTCGAAGAACGCATTACTATATAGCGGAGATCGTACCTGGATATGTAAATATGATCCGGTCAAGCGCCAACTGCACTGCCGACGCTCCAAATAGTCCCCTAATCCAAACTTTTCCTATCAAAACATTGCAAATGTACAAGTCATGTTAAATATTATGTAATGTAAAAATAGAATACAATATTTAAGTTTTACTTCTCAAATAAATTCATGAAATTATCAAGAACCTAAAGATTCCGCATATTAACTCTTTTGTTATTACTATTCTCCATAGATGTTTAACCTATAGATTCCTTAACGAGAAAAATAATGAGCTTAGGAGGCATCATTTTGGGGTAAAGTACCTGTGTTGAAATGTAAATTACTTGTAACAAAATTGTATACAATCTCGGTTTATTTTTTATTACTTAGTTCAAAAAAGTTTAAGATATATTATAAGTTGTGATATTTGTAAAATCCAAATTTAATAAATTAATTTTGTTTCATATTTTTCACTAAATGATATATTTTTTATCTTTTGTACTTGATACTTAATTCCCTATATTTTAGTATATTTTTATTTTATATACACTGCATTTCCCAATTTCGAGAAAATCTTATTATGCTAGTGTATATTTTATATTAAAGTCTAATACATATATCTAAAAATTGTCATATTATTAACATCAAACTAATATAAAACACTAAATCTATAGGTTACACATCTATATATCAATCTTCTTCTTCTTGAGGTGCCTCTCCGACTAGCGAAGGTTGGCGATCAGTTCTCCATATTTTCCTTTGTTTCTTGCGAGGCGAAAAGTTGGACGGCACTCGCAACCCCTGTCCACTCTCGAATGTTGCAACCAGGACTTTTTTCTGCGACCAACACTCCTTTTACCGGGAACTTTTCCCATCAAGATGAGTTGAATCAGATTGTATCTGTCGTGCCTGAGCACGTGGCCGAGGTAAGATACTTTTCTCATCTTGACGGTCTGCAAAAGTTCCCGTTTTTGATTGACCCGTCGCAGAACCTCTCCGTTTGATACTTTGTGAGTCCAGCTTATGGCCAACATCCGCCGATAGGCCCACATCTCGAACGCTTCAATACGTTTCCTGCAGTCTTCTTTTATCGTCCAAGCCTCGCATCCGTAGAGGAGGATGGGCCAGATGTAACACTTCAGGAGTCGAATGCGCAAAGATATTTTAAGGCTGCGAGAGCAGAAATTTTTTCGCATTTTTTCAAATGCATTGCGTGCTATTTCGATACGGGTCTTAACTTCCTGATCGCTGTCCCAAGCTTCATTTAACCACGTACCCAAATATTTGTATTTGCGCACCCTCTCCAGTTTTTGGCCCGCCACATACATGCAAGCGTCAGTCACTTCTTTTCTAGATATAATCATGAATTTTGTTTTCGCGACGTTCATTTTAAGCCCTCCTTTTTCGCTGCATTGATTTACCCGATCGACTATTTTTTGTAGATCTTGATGAGAGGATGCTATGAGAACTGTATCGTCAGCGTATCTCAGATTGTTAATGTTGCGTCCATTAATTTTAACTCCACAG